GTAACCCTGAGACTGCAATGCCTTTCCAATTGTAATACTGTGGAAGTGGGATATTCATGCTATGAATACTATTACCAGCTTGTATGAACTCTACTATCCATCATGAATAGGGATTTTTTTCCCCCGTAATCAGTTATCTTGAGAGGTTGTTTCCACCCCTTATGATAGCTTTGAAAATTGTTTGCTAGATAAATAAAATAAATATACTTTACTTGCAGCCTCCAGGTGATGGGCAAGTAAAGGATAAAAAGATCAAACACCATCAATGGATTAGGATCAAGGCAAAAAGAGTCTATGTTGAAGGTTGACAACTCAAGGATACAATCAAGACATAAGAACATAGAAAGATGATCTGTCAGGAATTCCAGCCTGATTTCGGATATATATATATATATATATTAAAGTTGTAGCAACGTTTCAGCAGAATCTCATCTGCCATCATCAGGCTTCTGTATTGTGTCTGTCTGTGGGTCAGACTTTTACAGTGGTTTCAGATTTAAATTTGGGGCAGCCTATATATATATGCAACCCACCAGTGGTGGTATTCTACTGGTTTAGCCCAGTTCTGGCATACCGGTAGCGCCCAAGATCAGCTGGCAGAAAACCAGTTCACTCCTAGTCTCTCCGAGGCTCTTCAGTTGAGTCCACCTGCCTACCTCTGCTCCTAGGTCTGTTTTAACCTTTCAGCTGTTTGGCGCAGCAGAACGGATTGTTGTGCTAAACAGATGAGAGGTGCCGTAGCTTAGTTTTTACTGTTTTAATGCATACACAAAGCATGTGTTTGGCACGTGCATGTGCGCGTGAGTCACATGAATCACACAACCCCCCTGCAGCCACGCCCACCAAGCCACGCCTACAGAACCGCTGGTGGGAACTTTTGAATCCCACCACTGCAACCCCTGAAGCTCTGACAAGCAATCTTCTCCATCAGTTTCAATAGAAGGATAGAAACTATGCAGAAATCTCTTTCGAAGAGCTCAAAATGCATGCTTGGACATGCTTGGAACAAGTTGGTGAGGAAGATGGCATCTGGATGTAAATTCCCCCCTCCCAAAGTTTTTGTTGGTTGTAAATGAAGTGCAGCTGCTATTTATGAAAGAGTGAAATCTCAAAACTTGACATTTTACTGTTTGAGCGTTGGCTTCCTGTCTCATTTCTGAAATGTCATGAAAGATAAAGCATAAGTCATATATGTTCAACATCCCTCGGTTCAGTGCAATATTGCCATCTTTCTTCCAGTTTTTTTTTTTTTAAAAAAAGGCAACAATATACTCCCAAAGGTGTTTTTCCAAAAGGTAATTGGACTTTCTTAATTTTTTTCCCTTTTTTTTTAACAACCATGATTTGATTGATTGATTGAGAATCTCCATAAACATGTAACAATATATTGTATATATAGAACTTGTTTCGGGCAAACTCCAGGAAACCTTGGAGGACAGGGGTGACTGGCATACTATGGCCTATAGGGTTGCAAAGAGTCAAACACAACTTGATGACTGAATAACAGCAACAACATAGACTTTGTTAATCTGTGTGTTCTGACCCAGGCTGAAGAGAATCATGAAACAGACTCCTTGTCCAAAAAAAACCCCACCCTTTTTATTTGGTTAATTTCTGGCATTCACACCCAGAAATGTCCCAGCAATAATCCTTCCCAGGTTTAAGTGCAACAACAGACCTTCTCAGTCCTTGGATCGTTGCCAGGTTTCCAATCACAACTGTAAAAGGAAATACTTCGCAAGGAGTCTCTATGAGGCACAAACTCAGATAAGCAAATCTTCACAATAGTAAGCGAATTAATTGTTTCCTGCAAACAACCCTCCCCTTTTGCTCCTGTTTATTCCCTATGGGAGGGGCCACTCAGCATCCACACTTGCCTTCTCTTCTGAGTCGACCTCTGTTCCTTAGTTGTTCCCTTCTCATGACAGTTCTGTGCATGTGCACATCGGGAACAGGCTCCAGCTGTTCTTCTTCCCTGCTTATCTCCAACTCTGAAGGCATCTGATAAATGTTGGATGACCATGGCCCCATCTCTGCCTCTGATGAAGAGCACCCATCAGAGCCTTCCCCAGACTCCAGGACTGGCTCAAGTTCCTCCCCAACCTCCTCACTGTCTGAGTCTCTGACAGCTCTGCCGGCAGATGGCAGGCCACAACACTGCACAACTAGAATTGAGCAATTAACTTTGTAGAATGCTGGTCCTGATCTTCTGATCTGATCTTCTGAAGGAATGACCATGCAATGTTACCCTTAATTATATCTCAGATGCAAAAAGTAAGAGAAGTGGCTATATGAAAAGGCAGATTCAGAATTGTACAACTTCAGTGTATTTCTACAGTTCCCTCTCTCAAAGTTTCATCAGATGGCTTAGAAATTAATTCACTTTTCTCATCTAATATTGTTCTTTTCAATAAATATGAATCCCACTTCTTCACTGAAATCTCTATTTTTTTAAAAAAAAAATCTATGATACTCTTCTCCAGTAAACCATTGCACACAGAAAAAGGAAGGAAGGAAGGAAGGAAGGAAGGAAGGAAGGAAGGAAGGAAG